ATATATACACACACACATATATATGTATGTATATATATATATACATACATACATACATACATACATACATACATACATACATACATACATACATACATATATATATATATATATATATATATATATATATATATATATATATATAAACAATAAACATATCAAACACAGTCATATTTTAGAAAGCCTCAAGCACACATGATTCAATCAGCCACTGAGCCACCTGGAGATCTCACTGGCCCCCGAGACCCCCCCAGGCCTGATGACAAAGCCGGGCCTTGAGGTATTTCCAGAAAATGAGGGATGGAGCTAATCTCACATCAGATGCGTAGGGAGGAATATTTCATAAATATATGAAATAGCAGAGAATGTTTGCATTCCTTGGGCCTGCCAAGTGTAGTTTCCTGAGAGATTGGACCCACAGCATCCTTCTCTTGCTAGATCTGATGAGATGAGCAAAGGTAATTGGGGAGAGGTGGTCCCTCAGATAACCTGGCCTCATAGCATGGAAGGCTTGAAAGATCAGAAACCATGTCTTAAATTGGATGTAAGCATAGCATATGCTGATCTAGAAGCAGACATAACTGCCCATGCTGCTATGTTTTACATTAGCTGAAGTTTCTGGATACTGCTCAAGGGCAGCCCCATATAGAGCATTTTACAGTAATCCAATGTTGGGGTGATGTGACTAGGATATGAGTAATTGTGAACAGAGCCTCCCCTCTCCTGATCCAGAAATAAGTATAATTAATGAACAACACAAAGCCGTAAAAAAGCCCTCTTAATCATGACTTCTATCTGCAGCAACTTCCAGACACTGGGATAAGACATCCATTTTTTTCCTTCCATTTAATTCTGGCCAGTGCTCAGAGATTTCCTGAGTCTCTTAGTTTTCTCGATAAGTGCCTCCTTCATAAGGTTAAAAGAAAGTTACTAGCCCAGTCACCCAGCTGGCATTGTGTCTAAGGCAGGACTAAAATTCATACTCTTCCATTTCTAGCCTGATGCCTTAACCACTGCACCAAATTATCTCAAGTTATCAACAATATCACTTAGCATATTGATGACACTTCATGATAAATAATCTTACCCTATGGCACCCCATATAGGGACCAGGGATGGAATCTTTCCTCCCCATTAACCACCATTTGGAACCAAACATGGAGAAAGGGGGTGAACCAACAAAACCAGTACTGCCAATTCCTTAAGCGGATCAAGAAAGACACCATGATTGACAGTATTGAGAGCTGCAGAGAGGTCAAATAGAGCAAGGATAGGTATTGCTTGATTTGCGAAGATAACTTCATCCTTACTGTATGCCAAGATATTATCCATATATTTTTTTAAAATTACTTGGATCCACTGATATTAAGGCTGATTTTCTTTGATTTGGAGAATAACTATACATGATCTTGTACTTCTGTATTAACAAGACAGATTTCTAGTCTATTTTAAAAACATCAGATATCAAACAATGCACAGCATAGTTGATTCTTGGACTAATTTTTACAGAATGCTCAATTTTGCCTTAAAATCATAGTTAAATATGATTGAAAGTTTCAGCACTATAATCTCTCACCATTTTTGTTTTGTACATCAGTAATCTTTAGGCATGTATGTGCACACACAGAGATCCATTTTTCTATTCTGTGTATGAGGGAAAAGATTATGTCTCTCTACTTTTGTCCTTGCACACAAATGGGGAAGATCGGATTGCAGGAAAAGGTTAAATGAAGTGTCCTAAAAACAATAGTTTCCCAGTGCTGGAAGCTAGGTGACTCGCTGTTTTGCATAACAAGTGCTTGTTATTTGTCAACAAACCATATATTACCGAGTTGGGCCTTTAGAAATAATTGGCATTGTATGATCCTGTAAGTTACACATAAGTGTCTGTCTTAGAAATCTAGATGCCTTTAAGTATTTTGACTGGATTTTTTTCCCCTTTTGATTATTTTAACACTTTATATAAATTTTCATTAATGCAAAATGAAACTGCTACTTTTACTTAAGTAGTCTTTTAAATGTTCACACCTTTCAGACAAGCTGTTCCCTATTTGTAAAGTATTGTTAACAGACAAGTAATCCTAATGGATGATGAATGCTTTCTTCAAGAAAATTAAGAACAGGAAACTTCAACACATGAATATTATGAGGTGGACTAGCTCAATATTAATTCTAAACAGATATGAAATTGCATATGTTAATTCATTATATATAATCTGTCAAGTAATGATGTCTCATAATATTAATTTTGATAATCTTGCTTTAAAGATACAAATGGTGAATTGTTCTGGCTGAGGAAAAATTACCTGTTGCAAAGAATATAATTATATTTAGTTATTGTGCCAATATTTTAAAAGTGTATAAACCATTTTATTTATCAGGCATTTAGATCTTTAATTAAAGAAAAATACTTTAATTATTACCAGTGTGCTGCTTAATTTATCAAAAGAATCTTTGGTGTGTGTGTGTGTGTGCACGTGTGTGTGCAATTTACGAGTTGTGGAAAATGTGGGTTTCGGAGAATTTGTGGATTAACTGTTACAACATTTACACCTGAACATCAGCCATTCTTTTATTGTATTCACATGCAGACTTAGATAGTAGTATTTTATTCCATTCAAATTAGGGGGGGACAGCTTGCTTGTATAAAAAGAGTAATTCAGTATTGTTTCTTCTTCCAGGTGAACGGAAGAGCCCTTACGTAGCAGTATGCTGTATTGCAATGGCTTTCAGTATTCTGTTTGTACAATAAAAATGGGAAAATGTTAAGAACATACTGCTGTCAATTTGCAATCAAATAAAAGACTTTAAGAAATAGAAGACAAAAATTCATTCTACACCTCAATTTCTTTGGACAAAAAAATTTTGTGTTTCAGTATTTTTGGTTAAAGAGCAGTGATGTTGGAAAAAATACAGCTACTAATCAATTCTTTTGAATGGATAACCTTTATTTATGTTAATTATTCTATATTTCAGTAAAGGCTTTTTAAGAGTACAACAGTGAGTTATGTCTGCTAATGTTGATTTGATGTTAATTCCAAAATCCTTTTAAATGCTTTTTATTTAAAAGTCTTTATTTTTTTCATGTTGTTTTAGGAAAAAGTATTTAAATTATAGACAAAAATAAAGTAAAATTGTATCATAAAGGAAAACAGATACAGATAGTCCTCAACTTATAATTATTGATTTAGTGAGTATTTGAAGTTACAACAACATGGAAAAAAAGTGATGACTGGTCCTTACGCTTAACAACCTTTGCAGGATCCTTACGGTCAGGTGAACAAAATTCAGGCATTTGGTAACTGGCATCTATTTACAACAGTTGTGGGGTCATGTGATTGCCATTTGCAACCTGATCTTCAATAAGCAAAGTCAATGGGGAAGCCAAATTCATTTAATGATCATGTGATTTCCTTATCAACTGCTGTGATGGCAAAAAAGTTTGTAAAATTAGGCACAATACACGTAACAGCAACTTTGCTTAGCAATGGAAATTCTGGTCCCAGTTGTAGTCATAAGTCAATAACTAACTGTACTACTGTAAGGGAGAGTTAAACTTAAAACTATTTGGGACAAGATTTCAAATCCATTTCATGATAGCTTTTGTGATTGTTACATCTATATGTTTTACACATTATAAAGTACATGCAATAGAAAATTTTAAAAAAACTGCATTCCATTCTATTATGACTTTATTAAACAAACATTTATATATAATACAGTCAACTGTTAATATTTATGTTTCACCTTGAATCTGCTTTTTAGTAAACAATTATATAAACTTACTTATGGTTGTCAACTATTTGGACTTAAATTTCATGCATGTATTTCTGTCATCTATTGGGAAATGGAATACAATCTGGATTTTTTTTTTAGAAACATCCAAATATTGTCTTTTAATCATTTCACCAGTATTTATCAGTACTTTATTATAGCACTTCAAAAACTGAAAGAACAATATTATCTTAGTGTTCGCTGAAATTATCTAATCTGATCTCTTATTTGCCTATTACCTACCTAGTGTATCAGTATAATTGTACAAATACTCCTTTGACTTTTAACTTAGTTTACAAATCACGAGAAATGTTTTATGATCCTTAAATATAAATTTATACAGATTATGTTCTAAATTACAGCTCTACTATGAAAATTTTATTATGAAATTGATTTTTCAAATTATTACTATACAGCTGGTCCTCATTTAATAATCACTCATTTAGCAACCATTCTAACTTGTGATGGCACTGAGTAGTACTTATGGTCTGTCCTTGAAGTTCTGACCATTGCAGTATTCCCATGTTACATTATATAATTTGTGACCTTCCCCAGAAGGAAGTCAGAAATCATAATAACATGAGATCCTTGCTTAATTATCTGCTGAGATCTCAATCATGGTAACCGGGACTACCAGAACTGTTGTCAGTAACTAGTAAGGTTGTCCATATCATTAGCAACAGAAATTCCAGTGCCAGTTTCTGTTATTAAACAAGGATTACTTGTAGATTAATTTGAAGGAGCATGAGAAGAATAAAGCAATATTATGAAGTAGATATTGTTAAACATTGAAAATGATACAGTATGGTATTTATTAGGAATATGAAGACATTTAGCATTTGGTAATTTTTACACTGCAGGTAGTCTTTAGTTAACTGTTTAGTAACCATTTGTTATGATGAAAAAGTACTGTAACTTTGCAACCCATCCTCTCACTTATCACTGTTGCAGGTGTGTAAACCAAGGGAAAGCTGAAGATCATTAGGGTTTTATGTAGTGGCTGCTTCATGTAAATATCAAATTATTGGTCCCAATTGTGGTCACTAAACAAGGATTATCAATATTAAGGTGTAAATTTAATTGTGAAATTAGAGGTGTTGGGGGGGGAGTCTGCTTTGCAAGCATTGTAAAACAATCATGCATGCAATATTTTCAAAATATGTAAGAAATGATGTATTGTGTAGTAAGTGATTATAATAATTCTAAGGAATAATTGTGCTACATGATGCTCTTCAGAAGCTTACCAGTTTGGAGGAATGATAAATTCTATTTTAATTTAAAGTCTGGGAAAGAAGATAATGATACCAAGAACTGCTTCCTTAAATGATGCCTAAATGCAATGTTCTATTCCAGATATTTAGAAGGATTTTAAAATATATTTTTCTTGAATAATTCAGTCTGAGATTAGAAGAATATTTTACATTTCTTGAACAGAACCTCACTGAGAATGAGAACTCTAGAAAGACATGGGAAGTTCATACTGGTTATTCCTCCCTCTCCCCCTCCTGTATCTGTACTTTTACATCTTAATACTTGGAGCACAACTGTTTTAGTTGTTAAGTACTACAATAATCTATTTTCACTAAATCACCTTTTAAAAAGTTCTTTTAAAAACCATATTTTCAAGAGAACTGGTTTGTTTAAGTAATGTATCAGAAGGTTCGGAAGCTAAGTGGTGGGGGGTGGGGAACACTTTCAGAACCTTCATAACTTGCTTTCATATTTTCAGATAACAAGGTCTTCTATAGTCATCAGTTTTTGGGATTATAATCCAAACCAGCACACCTGAAAGATGTCTGGTTTGGATCTTACAATATCTTAATGTAAAAACTATAACATGTACTAAATCTGAAGGAGATATATTCATGTAATTCCTTTACAACTTGAATAATTAGCATAAGAAGCCAGTGTAGATAAATTGTTTGCATGTTAATCTGCATAGTATAATCCCAAAGAGTTGCAAAAAAAACAACTTTAAGAATTGTCAAAACTTCCTATTGAATATGTAGCAATTATTATTATAAATGATGGCAGTAGTCAAAGAAATGCGTATTTTGCAAAAGACCAAAAGTGCTGCTTGTGATAATTTTTTATCTTTATTTGATAGAACTACTCTATTGTAATTAAAGTGAATATTCTTATTTTCCTAAATGTTTGTTTATTATTTAGTTTCACTTGTGGCAAACAATTATTTTACACTTTTCACCTATATTTAAAAACTTTAAATTTAAAAACTTTTTAAAAATGACATTAATCATAGAAAGGTAGAATGGAGGTTTAGATTTATCATGTCTGCAATACTACTTAAATTTTTCAATGAATAAACATTGATAAAATGTTAAGTGAAAGATCATTTTTCAAACTTTTCTGTAAATGGATTTTATATTTGCAAGGTAGGAGAGAAGGTTCTATTACAGTGTAGTAATATGAATAATTCTTTTCACTGCTTCCATCATTTTTTTCACTTTTTTAAAAAAAGTACCCATTTTACAGGTGAAACACTTTTTATAAAATACTCATTGAAATACAATAGTTAGAAAAGCAGCACAAATTTATAAATAATTATGTTACTACATGAAAATGTAACGAGGGACAACGTATCTTGCTTTAACTGCACATTGATGCCTCTAATGTGAAAAAGCTAGACAACTAGTAGATCTTGTTTAGTATTAAAAAGTAAAGAGGAAATGTTCAGTTTGTTAAACAAACCACTTGGTCTGAAAGATAATCTCTGCATATCACATGTTTGGCAAAATATACTCTTTCCTGTAGCCAAGTTTATGAAAAAATATAACCATGTGGGAGTAACAAAATTTGTAAAAATTAACATATTTGTTTCCATCATAATGATAGTTTGGAGAGGGGAAAAATCAGTTTTATGCGAAGAACTGAACATTTGGTTTCACCCTTCTGTCTGACCCCATATTCACTTCCTCATTTATTTGGACCTAAATCTACCACATTTGAGCACCTGTTTCCTGTAGCAATCCTTATGGGCTATTGAAATGTATTTTTATACATTTTCAGTTACTGTTTTTTCTCTGAGATGGGAAAGAAAAGCTTCAACTCAAACTTGGAAAAAAATTAGTATTTGTTCATGGTATCTTAACTGGAGTCAAGAAAATATTTCCTAATCTCAAATAATTTGGAAAACGTGTATTTGAAAAAAGGCAAATTGCTGTATTCAAAATTAGACTGCATGATCTCTCTGTCATAATTAGTATATTTCACATTGTATTGCTCTGGTTCAGAATAGAAGCTTCCAATCCGAAGATGAGCAATGCAAGTTGCAAAATGGCACGAGAGCGGCGTACCAGCTTTCCTGGCGCCAACAATAGACACTGCGATTTTCAAACTGAAAAATTGGCACAAGAGTGGCGAACTGGCTCTCCTGGCTCCAAAAAGCAAAAGCGCGGCTTTTGGAGGCTAGCCCAAGTGATCGGGCAGTATCTCCAAGCTGCAGGGACTCCCTGGAACTTGAATTAGTGGAGCCAATTGAGTTTTGTTGTGGCGGTTCTAGCTGGTGGCCAGGGAAAATCAGCACACACGCCTGCAGCCGACTAAATGGCTCGGGAGACACCAAAATACAACCCAAATATTCTGCTCAACTAAATTGATGAAAGAGCTGTTGATTTTTTGGAAAATCCAGGCTGCTGAGATAACTTTTGATTTAGGCTGAGCTGGAGAAATATTGATTATGTCTCTCTAAGATAGACTGAGTTGAAAAAACAGCTCCTTCAAGCAGAGGAGGCGTGGTCAAGACTTTTCTAACTCAGTCTCTGGGCAAACAGACAAAAGTTAACCCATGCTTGGATTCTCCCTCAGCACACACAGAACAACTTTTCAGGTAAGCCAATGGTCTTTTGGGGTAAGTTTGAGGTATTGCATGTAAGTATTCTTTTATTCCAAACTTGCATGCTAGGAATAAAAATGTGCTAAATATTGTTAGGATACAATGTGAGAATAGTTAATAAAGTTGATAATGGACTGGAAGTGGATCTGATTACACTAGGGGGTAAATAGGTTTTGGGTTTCTCTCCTTTTATAAGCTTTAAATATAAAAAGACACAATTTGCCTCCAGTGCATATTATAGTTTCTCTCTCTTCAGGCTGGCATCCTCTCCATTAGTGACAGTTTAAATGTGTTTATATATTTAAAATAAAAGATAGCTTGTATAGTCCATATATTTGAATATATTACAGAGATGAATATATTACCAGAGGTGCAGTTCCTTTCTGATTATTTCAAACTGGATGCCAGCTTATTTCAGTTAACTTTGGGATAACAACTTCAGTGAAGTCCAGAGATGCTGGGAATTAGGTAGTATATAAATTAATATGAATGCTC